GTATAGTAATGAAATAAATAAATAAATATATAAATAAGTAAATGATAATTAAAATATTAATAATAATAAACAAGTAGATATAAAAAATAAGAATAAGAAAACTAAAAATATTAATACCATAAAATAAAAACCCATAATAAAAATAATAACGTAAATAAAAAAATTATAAATAAAATTTTAAAGTTGATAATAATAATAATAAATAATTATAATAATAAAATAAATCAATCAATTCATAATGGAAAATAGTAGTGATAAATAATAAATAATATTCTCTCACATTTTTGTCCCAAAAAGAATTACAAAGTCAATAACTTTACAAGGAATTGACTCTTTTACCCTCTCACTCCTACACTATTCACACACTATTCATCCATGTGAGTGGGCCACTTGGGGGGTAATTTGGGAAAAAAAATTTAATTTTACTCTTCCTTAATTTCAACAAAAAGGGAATATTGTAATCTAAAGTGTAATCTAAAAATTTAATTTTACTCTTCCTTAATTTTACTCTTTTATATATATATATATATATATATATATATATATATATATATATATATATATATATATATATATATATATATATATATATATATATATATATATATATATATATATATATATAGACCCACACACATAATTAAATTTAAAAAATTAAATTACATAAGATAATTAAAAATTAAAATTATAAAAAAATGAAAGAATAAAATCAAAAACACTGATAATAATTTTTTTAAAATAGATAAAAAAATAGTTTAAAAAATGAAAACTATAAATAGAAAATTAAAAATAAAACATTTCCTTCTCCTCCAAACCAAACAAAGTGAAGGGAATCCTTTCCTTCCCTTTCCATTCCCTGATCCATTCTTTCCCCTCTCCTCCCTTTCAACCAAATATACCGTTAAGGTTCTCTCTCGCACTCGTTAATGTTTCTATACCATGTTTCTTGCCTACTACTATGAAGTGTTTGCCACTCTATTGTTAATTTCTTTTCCTCTTTTATTCCCCAAAAGGCCAATATAATGAAATGCCTTTTTTTCCTTCTATCTCGTGCATTATCTTAGATTATCGTCAAAAAATAAGTAGTTACAATTCTTCTTTGTCCTAAAATAAATTTTATGTCTCATTTTCTATTTTTAAACAAATTCTAACCACATATTTTTAGTTTAATACTCCGTAATATTTTCTCTTAAATTTCACGTAATAAAACATTTCAACTCCGATCGAGTGTTGGGAATTAAACACACAACACACACAAATAATCTGCGAGAAACGAGAGAAACGGAACACAAACGACACATAAGAATTTAACGTGGTTCGGTTTTCCTAATCCACGGCTACAACAGGAGGATTTTCTTATTTCACTTGTGGTGTCGATTACAAGTACAAGTATGCAATATATATAGGAAGAGTGCATCTAGGGTTTCGTAACATGGGCCGGACCAAAAGTCAAGCCCAAGCCTCCACAAACCCAACATTCTCCCACTTGGAGGCTTGATAGTCATCAACTGCCATCCACCACGATTCCCTGTACATCGAGTAATCTTCCTCAACTCTCCTGTTGCAGCGGCCCTATCATCAGACAACTGAAAGACCCGTTGAAGCTCTCCCAAGCTCCAACACATCAGTCACGGCAAAATCTGCCCCTGACTCGTCCTCGGTCCCTACCGGCTCCCACTGCAGACGCACACTGCCGGATCCTGAAACATCCTGAGAACAAACACTCTCCATACTCAGCAAGAAATTTTCTGGAGATGTTCCAACAGCTGGAATACTGGTTCTCTTGACCCACTGTCTTCTAGGCAACTTGGCTCAAGCGCCTCTTGAACTCCCACTGCCACAAATACCTCCGACTGGCCCCCTTGAACCTTTCCACGCTCGTTCATCCTGAGTCTGACCAGTGGCTCTAGGTTTCTCTCTTGCACAGACAACCTTATTCTGCCCACGAGACTCTGTGAACCGGACTTTGTTTCTCTTCTGAACTGGGACGGTCACTCCCTCAGATGGTAACTCGATCATATACAGCGAACCTCTCTTCTTTCCATGGGCCATGATAAGGTTTTCCTTCACGACCTTCCACTGCCCATCTCTGAACTTCACCTCATGTCCCTGTTCGTCCAACTGCCTGACAGAAATCAAACTTTTCTTCAAGGCTGGAACAACTTTGACATCCTTCAAAGTCCAGAAACCAGCTGGGGTCTTCAGCACTATGTCACTCATGCCCGTCACATCAAGAGCTCTGTCGTATCTTTCCAAAGTCTCTAATAACCAGATTCTGCAATGCTTCACCGCTGTGGGTGGCATGAAATGAAGCACCAGAATCCATGACCTAGGAATCCACATTGCTTTCCTCACAGCAAGTCAGAGCGACCTCCTCGTCACTCGCAAAGCCTTGAGCAATGTTTACTTTATTATCATTTGGGCATTGATTCCTAAAATGCCCCACCTCCTTGCACTTCCAGCACGTTACACCTGAGCTATCCCGAGTCTTCGACTGACTCCTTCGTCTGCTCCTGCTCCCACTACCTCTACTATTTCTTCTGCCTCTACCAACATGAAGCAATTAACCAGATGACTCCCCTGAACTCTTTCTTCTGACGTCCTCGCCAAGAACGAGATCTCGAATCTGATCAAAGGGGAATCCATCGGGTCCCACTGAACCGGTAACTGCAGTAACCGTTCCGGACCAACTATCAGGTAAAGACGATAGCAGTAGTAAAGCTTGAACTTCATCATCGAACTTAATGCCCACTGACAATAGTCTGGCTAAGATCGAATTCAACTTGTTGATATGCTCGGTAACTGAAGTGCCTTCTTTCATTTTTGTGTTCACCAGCTCTCTTATCAGAAAAACTTTGTTCGCTGCAGATGGCTTCTCGTACATGTTAGACAGTGCGTCCATAATTCCCTTCGCTGTCTTCTCCTTCAGAATGTTGAACGCAACATTCTTGGTCAACGAGAGACGGATCACGGACATTGTTTTCCGATCCAACCCTGCCCAATCTGCATCTGACATCTTTTCTGGCTTGTCACCCAATACCACGTCCAAATCTTTCTGAACAAGCAAATCTTCAATTTGCATCCTCCACCAACTGAAATCTGTACCATCGAACTTTTCAATTCGGAACTTCCCGTCTTCTGCCATATCACACGACTAGACAAGATACCCTGTACAACTAATTTCAGATCTTGGTAATTTCGTCAGAAAATCAGGTCCACCACTTCAATTAAATTAGCCCAAACCAAAAGTCCAAATCCAATAAAAAAAAACCCAAAAAAAACAAACAAGTGGGCTGACCAGGTTTACGGCCCAACCTCCCACTTTTTTTTTATTCGATCAGGATTTTCATTTGGCGGCTGAAGTTTTTCTTAGCAAAACCAGACGGTGGCAGCACGGGGAGCAATCGGCGGCGGTGCTCTCGCTGGACGACGGCGGCAGATCTCCACTCAAGCGGCGAATCTCTCTCGCTCTTGCCGCGTTCAGTTTTCCAGCGACGACGATCTGATTTGACGGTGTCGGCACGATCTGAAACGGCACGGCTTCGCGGCGGCTCCTTAACGTGGCGGCGGCGGATCTGGACGGCGGATGACGGCTGAGATCCCCGGCGAATCTGTGCGCGGGTCACTCAGCGGCTGCTCCTCAATGCGGTTCTTCGTTGCTGCGCGTCCCTCCTCTGGATCGCAGCTTCTGCCGCTACACAAATAGCCTACACAGCGGCGCTCCTCAATTGAACGGCCACACACCCGGGCGATCTGGATCCCACACGGTTCTTCACACAAGAACCCTAGGTGACAAATCTTCTCGCAATTTGTGTTCGTGTTGAACAATTTGCTCCGATACCACTTGTTGGGAATTAAACACACAACACACACAAATAATTTGCGAGAAACGAGAGAAACGGAACACAAACGACACACAAGAATTTAACGTGGTTCGGTTTCCCTAATTCACGGCTACAACAGGAGGATTTTCTTATTTCACTTGTGGTGCCGATTACAAGTACAAGTATGCAATATATATAGGAAGAGTGCATCTAGGGTTTCGTAACATGGGCCGGACCAAAAGTCAAGCCCAAGCCTCCACAAACCCAACATTCTCCCACTTGGAGGCTTGATAGTCATCAACTGTCATCCACCACGATTCCCTGTACATCGAGTAATCTTCCTCAACTCTCCTGTTGCAGCGGCCCTATCATCAGACAACTGAAAGGCCCGTTGAAGCTCTCCCAAGCTCCAACACATCAGTCACGGCAAAATCTGCCCCTGACTCGTCCTCGGTCCCTACCGGCTCCCACTGCAGACACACACCTAAAATAAATTTTATGTCTCATTTTCTATTTTTAAACAAATTCTAACCACATATTTTTAGTTTAATACTTCGTAATATTTTCTCTTAAATTTCACGTAATAAAACATTTCAACTCGGATCGAGTCCCAAGGATCCGAGGGCCCTGATCATTTATGTAAAATAGGTAATTCTTTGATGTCTTTGCAATTGAGAACATTCATGTGCCTCCATTCACTAATTGGCATTTGTATTTCTATGCAACATAATACTCCTACATATGATTAATTACTAAGACTTTTTATTTTTCTAAAATTGCAAAATTTTCCCAATCTCATTCTACGCTTTCGTGATCTTACTTTTTCAATTTGATTACTTTAACATTATTATTATTATTTAATGAGTAATTTATCTAAATAGGACTAAAACATACGGAGTACTTGGTCCGTCCCTGAGTGTTTGTTCACTTTTGACTTTTGGAACTGTTCATCTAAGCACTTTGACTCATCAAATTCTCTCAATGTGTAAGCCTAAAAATAGTCATGTGTGATCTTGTTTGATTCGTCTTAACATATAGATTATTAATATATAATTTTTATAATTTTTTAATATACAAATTACAAGATAAAATGGATTAAAGAAGTACATTTGATGGTGTGCAAAAATGAAAGTGGACAAACACTCAGGGATGGAGGGAGTAATAATTTTCTCAATATAGGACCATATGTTTTTATTTTCCAATGTAGGACCTTTAGTCATTATCTATTAGTTATTATTCAACTAAATGCCCAGTATCATTTGGACATTATTCTTCTCACTAGTCATCATTAAATCATATTTAGGAAATAAAAAAAATTAAGTCCTACATTGAAAAATGACTTATGTTTTAGTCTTATTCACAACAAATTTCACTTAATTAATACTTATTGATTATTTTTCTTTTTCATTTATAATTAGTTTATGTTCTCTACTTTTATTAGACTCTAACTCTTAAATTTCAATATTTTTCAATCCAATTTAGTTTTTAAAAATTTTTGTATTTCTTTCAAATTCTTCGTTCTCACTTCTTCAACGATAGCCTAAAACACAATTATTTTGGAGTATTTTTCATATTATTAATATAATTACTTTTATTATTAGTATCATCATCATCAATGTGAATAAAATAATAATAAATTAAAACAGTCTCATAACTTAGAGCATTGGCAGCTGCAAGGCAAAGCCTTGCCACTCCATGCCACATCAGACTTTTCAAGGCATTAGCGAGGCGAGCCAAGCCGTGTCACCCCTCTTTGTGAGGCATCACCGAGGCAAGGACTATACTCCTCTTTTTTGTTTCAACTGTTTTCTCCAATTTACTCTTTTCTTTCTTTTTTCTGCTCTTTCTCTCTCTTTGTGAAGATTTGTACTCTAGTATATACATTGGCAACTCAAAACAAAACTAGTTATAAACTGGGTACAATTTTTGGAGAATAAAGTATACTTTTTTATTGACGAATTGAGTTCTATTTTTTTCAAGAATCTAAAATCAACTTGATTTTAAATTTCATATCCTCAAAAGAAAGAAATTAAACAAGCTTTTTACGAATGTAGTAGTAATATTCTTTAATGATAAAATATATGACAAAATACGGAGTAGTTTTTATTAATCACAATACATCATTTTTTTTAAAAAAAAGAAAAAAAGAATGACTTGTCATTGTAGGGATTGCTACTCCACACACATGTCACTCAATGACTAGACTGTTTCTTATTGGTTAAAATATGCCACGTCAGCGTGTGTCATTTCATTTCTCTACTTGCCATTGTTCATGCTCTTATATAAAAAAATTGTCCCTGCAACAATTTCTAGCTATCATTACAAAGTCAATATACAATTTTAAAATAATTAATATATTAATGCATCCATCCCTATTGATTCTTGATAGAGACAATTATTGAGATTTAAGCATATACACATTATAATAAGAGAACTTAATTTCCATATTTCCCCATGTATAATTAATAAAGTACATAAAATAAATTGAATTTATTATAAAAATATAATTTTGAAATATCAATTTTTATTATATTTAATTATTTTAAATTATATTTAATTAATAACTAAAGAGTGTCACAATTTAATAAAAAATTAAATTATGACAACCTAACAATATTTTAGAGATGGAGAAATAATTGAATTGATGGAGGTAGATGGAGGACAAAGACAAGACTAGGGAGAATGCTTTACTACTGAAAAGTTATACGGAGTATTTATCAACAAGTAGCTTTATCTTTATGTTCAGTTTTCAAACTACTTCCCTCCGTTCCATAAAACATTTCCGGTTTCAAAAATGGCACGCCTTTAAAATGAATAATTTTAGTGTTACCGAGTATTTTTTAATTATGACTAATCTATTCTACACATCTCATCCTACTCTTTTATAAAGTAAGGGCAAAATTAAAAAATAATACCAAAATTACTCATTTTAAGGGTGCGCTTTTTTTAAAACAGGAAATGTTTTATGGGACGGAGGGAGTATTAAATTATGACAAACTAACAATATTTTAGAGATGGAGAAATAATTGAATTGGAGGTAGATGGACGACAAATACAAGACTTAGGAGAATGCTTTACTTATTAAAAGTTATTTTTATCAGAAAGTAGCTTTATCTTTATGTTTAGTTTTCAAACTCGCCTTCCATTGTCCTTTACTTTTGCAGTTTACTAATGTTTTAGTTATTGTAATAAGAGTAAATTCTATAAAAGATCCCTAGTTATATGTCATTTTACATATTTAATCCCTACATATCAAATATTATTAATTTAGTCCCCAATTATTATATTCATTTCCACAAATGGTCCTTTGTTAACATTTCCATCAAGAACCTGAATAAAATTGTAACTTCACACTCATTTCTCTCATCAATTAAGCTTCCTCTCTCCCCTCACACTCCTTTCCCAACCCCGTCGCTGAGTTTGAAGCTTTGAATCCAAAACCGAAATCATCACTCTTCTCTCAATTGTTTGTCTAACTGGTGGATGATGAAACGGGGAACGAGATAAACGAATGGATGAACGACGAACGAACAACCTCACGCGTAGCCCTCTTTCTCTTCCTCCTCCTTCCTCCTCGTCTACTCGCCGGAATCTCCTCCTTGGTCTACTGCTGCTTGGCCGAATGCAATGGAGAGAGGGAGAGAGTGTGTTATGGTTGGGGGGTTACAAGGATGAAAGGAAATGAAGAGGGAAGAGGCTAATATATATTGAATGGAAATTAATAGAATAATAATGGGTATTAATGTAGTGGAAATGAATGGTATGGAGGTGTGGGTGGCGTGAGAATTGAAGTAATTAGATGGAGAGTTATCTCCCTAAATTCTATTCCGTTATGTAAAATCTGACATGAACGGTATGCGCTTTTTACCCCGAAGAAGTCTAAATCGAGATCCGTTTGCATTTCTAGAATCAGACAGTCAAGACGAATATCATGACGTGATCAAATAATTTTTTTTCTAAGGATTCTATTTTCCAAACCCCGGTTCGAGTTAGTAATTAATTAATTAAATTAATCAATTCTAATAGACCGGTTCTCAGGGTGTTACACATACTCTACTAGACCTGGGGATAACACTTGTCTGGCATACTCTTGGGTATCAATAAGGTTGTCCTCATACAACTACATAAGAATGACTATTAAATATACATTGCTTATATGGTGAAAAAGGTTTAGACTTATGATTATAGGTATAGCATACCCCAATAATTACCGCTTGCATCTCAGATGTTGCTTTTTCCAAATTTGTTTGCGAATACTCCTGGAAAAATTATGCCAAAAGTGTTCATTTGAACAACACAAAGACATATACATGGTTCGAAAATCACACATAAATATGAAGACAACGAGTTTCATTTACTAATACCTCCATTTGGGTCCCGCCGAGTGGTGATGAAATCAGAAGTTTAGTTTCCTTTTCCTCTAACGCTTCTCCACCATCTACGACCCTCGACCATTTTCGACAGTTTCTTTGTCTAATGGTCTCTTCATCCTCTTCCAATTCCACCTCCACCTCTTTCTTAGACTCTGCATGACCACTGTCTTCCTCCTCCCCCTCATTCTCATCCTCCAAGTCCCCCACCACCTCCTCTTCTTCATCGTCTTCCTCCCCCTGCTCATCCTCTACGTCTCCCTCCTCATCCTCCGCCTCCTCGGTTGCATGTGTGTTTTTGTGTATCCTTTTCTTTTTGTTCTTCAACAAGACATCTACTTTCTTAGAAAGTATTTCTATCTTTACTTTAAGATCTCCAAACTTTTCATCCACAACCTCTTTTATATGCTCCACCTCTGAAACAAGACCATTTATTGCGTACTCCTTCAAAAGAATAGTACATTAAATAAATCTAAGTCACTGCCACCAGGTATTTAAATTAAGGAAGATATATGCAATTGTGTGCCAACCAGTTTCTTAGATGTCTCCCTCATGCTTGCCAAGAATTAGCTCTTTTAGTTGGTTGTATTGAGAGCACTTGTTTGACCCCATTTCAGAAATGGACAACCAACTTTTTTTCATCAAAGTCTGCAACAACTCCTTTAAGTTGTGGGAATTGTTCATAAGCCACACCTAAAAGTATTAGGAAAATAGTTATAAGTATTATTCAAGTTAATACTTTGGAAATACTTGCAACATAAAAGGAAAACCATAAAAAGAGAATTTGGATGTCTTCATGTTCAGGTTGTCAGCTAGCTTTGACAAGAAACGGGCTAGTTTTTTTTTAAAAAAAAAATCTCATCAACATTATACTGATTTCAAATACTCTGAATTCAAACAATAAAAATTACAACAAATTGTTGAAACAAATAAAGTACATACAAAAAATAGTTCAGTAAGACATATGATGATAAAGCATATATATAACAAAATGATCTTCTTCCCTTTAGCAAGAGTTACAAACGGCTTAAAAACTCACTCCTTTGAGAGAACAAAGGGAAGGGGAGGCGGGTGGGGGGGACTAGTTGCAGCTCTACGCGACTAGGTGTATTCACCCGCAAACCACCTTCTATCATCATATCAATATATAAATCATATACGAGCCACATAAGAATTGGCCTGCGTAACATACCGCACCCACCTATATGGGTTGTAAGATTTGGATGCCTTCGCAATCTGCAAATACTTCACCTGAAGCCTTGAAGGATTGTACATGGGAATGGTGAAGGTCATGCTTACAGGTCCCGCTTCCTTTGTGATATTTGCATGTGATTCTTGTGATAATGTTAGCTTGGCACGCAGTGTACATTCGGAACCACCCGCAATCTTTTTCAGACTCCACTCAAGTCTCCTATTGGATTCTTTGAAATCAGTTGTTTGTCCAACTGCTCCAGGTTCCATCTCAAAACTAACCCTGGATGTATATGCTGGCACAGGCATCTGCACTGCCTCAGTATTTGCAGTTATGTTTGATGGAAACTCAGCTCGAATCTTCAAAATTACTTCAGCCTTGAGTGATCCAGCTACTTCAATCAAAGCATTGATTCAAAAAGGAGGCTCGAATTCCTGGGTTATACAGTAATTCATGACAGGGAATTCACCATCAGGGGGGACTAGTGTCAAGGTTCTGTCAATGTCAAAACTATCAAGATGAACAGATTCATGGAAATTGCAATCATCCAATATAACTGCTCCTGACCCAAAAGAGCCACCATAATCATATATTGATCCCCCACCGCTGCCTATGCTCAGATCCTCGTTAAGAGCTAATCTGATTTCTGGATTACCAGTAAGATAACTCTTCATTTGAATGGTGCCATCAATTTCAGAAGTCAATATATATCCACTTGAGCTGAATGTAATGCTTATTTTCTCAATTATATCCACAAAAATTTCCTCCCTCTTTCTACCGGCTGGTTCATTTGCTACGACAGATTTGGTAATAGCCGTCCTTGGCATTCTTTTTGTCCCTTGCATGAACATAGCAGCGGGGCCAACTGGTGGCAAACGACCAGCATCAACAACAATTGGCTCATTAAATATGTAGGACGCGACTTCAATATTTCAGTGGATGTTGTTTGGACATAACCAAAATCAATAACTTCATCAAGTAGCTTGTACACAAGTACAAAATTCTTTCTCAAGGAATCTTCATTCAGAATGCCAAGGTAATCTTTGGTAACACGTGCAATCCTCTGTAGAAGCTCCAGCACCAGAGAAGGTGAGACGTTGGTCCTCGTAGTTGCAGCAAAAAGCAGACCAACAACCTTCACATGGAAGTAATTTACACCATCCACATTAAATACAGGGGGTGCTTCTTCTTCCCCATCTTCTTTCCAAAACTTAACTTTGCGAAAGAAAATCTCTGCACTTCCTTTTTGTACATCTCCTCTATAGTCGCGGAAGACAATGCTGTCTCCCCTCTGAGAAAGCACGAAGAACTGGGAGATCATGCCTCACTGCTACCGTTGACTCCCCGGATCGTGAGTCCCGCTTTGCTGCTACGCGTTTGATACGATCAAGAGCGTGATTGATTCCGATGACGCTGCAGCCTATGCTTCTGTCTTCTCCGTCATTTTGCTCAAATTGCTTCACTCGGACTCACTGTACCCCTTGTTTGCCACATTTCTAAGAAAGAAACGGGCTAGTTACCCCTCCATAGCTGCCTTCAGGTGGCGTACTGTGAGAAGGTATGACTCCCACCCGCATGGATAAGCGGTGAACTTGTCAACGCTATCTAGGAGGTGAAGGTGAGACGTGTCAACACCAGTCCCCTTGTCTTTAGCTAATAACACAGACTCCACAAAAAAGAGCTTAGCAAACTGAAGGATGTCATCACCCCCATTTTCATCACAAAGAGCATGAAAACATTTGCGCACATGGGCAAATGTTGTTTTCCCCTTATCATTTCCTAAAGATTTCTTTCGAATTCTCCCTGAGGCTAAATTGTCACCCTCATCCCCACCTTCCTCTCTATAAACCTTGGTAGAGGTCATTCCACTTATGCGACACCATTCCCCAAAATCAAATTTCAATATCGAACCATTTATGTTGAATCGTAGTTCATCCTCTACCTATTCTCTTGTCAGATGCATGAGCAACAGATGTATGAGTTGGCCTGAGAACTGCAATGGCGGGGACTCAAGAAGGTGGCCAAAATGGGACTCTGTCTTGAAGCGAAGCGATTCAAGTCTGAAGGTGTGAGTTTCTGTTTGATGATGTCAACCGATTTTCGAAGCTCGGAATAACATGTGTATTATGCTTGGAAGTGGTCTGCACAAACAATTTGCAACGCCATTGCACCCAAACCTATATTTCAAATCAAATACAAGATAGTGTAATACCAAAATATGAAATCTCATAATTACACTTTTTGTGTGAAGGTTATACAAACAGAAATGTTTGTGACTAGGAAAATAATAACGTAAGCATAACATACTGAATTATATTGGGCAGAAAATGGACCATTCTTCAGGCATTTGTGCAGAAAATGTAGGTGTGAAGCTACTGTACACCATTGCCCAGGCATTTACATAAATGTTTATAGAGTAAATTCCATAAAAGTTCTCAATTATAGGTTGTTTTACATATTTAGTCCTTACATATCAAATATTACTAATTTAGTCACCAATTATTATATCATTTTTCATGAATGGTCCTTTGTTAACGTTTTTGTTAATAACATGGATAAAATTGTATATTCATACTTTTCTCTCTCTCATCAATTAAACTTCCTCCCTCCTCTCATACTATTTCCCAAACTCATCGCTGAGTTTAAAGCTCTAAACCCAAAACTAAAATCATCATTCCTCTCTCAATTATTAGTCTTCCTGGTGGAACCTAAAATAAAAACCAATAAGCTTTATGGATGAGTTTTATGGGTTAGTCTCAAGAAATTGTAAAGAAAAAAAACGTTAAAACTCATCCATGAAGGTTGCTGGTTTCGAAATTGGGGTTCCACCAGTTAAATAAACAATTGAGAAAAGAGTGATGATTTCAATTTTGGGTTCAAAGTTTCAAGCTCGGCAATGGGATTGGGAAAGCTGTGCGAAGGGGAGGGAGTAAGCTTAATTGAGGAGAGAAAGGAGTGTGAATTTACAATTTTATCCACGTTCTTAACGAAAATGTTAACAAAGGACCATTCGTGGAAATGAATATAATAATTGGGGATTAAATTAGTAATATTTGATTTGTATGGACTAAATATGTAAAATGACTTATAACTGGGGACCTTTTAAAGAATTTACTCATGATAATACTTCAACGAATTTTTAAAATAAATTATGCTATCACTGCCATTCTGGGTAGTCATTGGTCGAGATGAATGTATAAACAAGATAAAATTGAGTGCGCAGAAATCAAAGGTCGCTGAATATATTAACATGGGCACTATGTGTTGGTGTGTAGGGTCAAAATACCATTGCCCAGGCATTTGTGAATTTCGCTGCAAACATAAGGGAAAAATAACGTAGCTTTGCTTTTAGGGTCTCAGGAACATGCATTTGGGAATTTTAAGATTCACTAATGTAACCAATTTTTGTGAAAATAAGTGCAATTGGAAAAGGAGGAGCAATTACCTTGATGGCAGACCACTGGCGGCAGAGAAGAGGCGTTTGAATAGGACACAGACCAGGAGGACAGATGCGAGGAAGACACAGTCCACGAGGGCAGAGACGACGACAACTGTGATGAGGACACAGACCACCGGCGGCAGAGACGAGGGCAGAGATGACGGTGCCTATGAAGACGGCGAGGACGAACTCCAAACCGGGAAAAAAAGGAAGGTAACCGAGGAGACAAAATTGAGGAGCAGAGTGAATTAGGT